GCTCCTACTTGCTTCTGTGCTGGTGGGGGGCGGGGCACAGGCCAGGAGGACAGGGAGGAGGGACAGTCTCTACCAAGCAGAGAGAGGGGGCATGTCTCCATCCTTGCCCACCTGCTCCCTCCACCCGCCTCCCCACGTCTGTCAGGGCCCGGGGTCCAGGCCTCTCCATGCTCTCCCTCCCCACCTCACATTCCCCCTTGCACCACTCTGAGGGCTCCCCACAGGGCCACTCTCCCTGCTGGCCACCCAGCTGCCCTGAACACTGCAGAGAAGGAGAAGGCCCTCGCCTGGACCTGCACTCCCCCTCAGCTCCTGCTGCAGGCCCACACTCCCCCAGAGCCCCAGGAGCTCTTCATAGCGTCCCCAGCAAACACTGGACCTGAGGCCTCACAGGGCTGCTCCCAGCAGCACGTGTATGCTGAGAACAGCATCTGCCCAGACTGCTAAGGCTCCCTCAGCTCACTGTTCCACCACCCACCAGGGGGTCCCTGGGGACACCTTCCCCTCTGCTGGTGCCTCCCCAGCCCCACTGCAAGAGTCTGACCTCCCTCACTGGGAGCCTGAGCCCCCAGCCCCCCACAGGCCAACCATGCCCAGGCTGCCTCCTCCAGCCCTGGAGCCCCTCCCCGCTTCTCCTCCAGGGACCAGTGGGCTCCCCTCCTCTCCGGGCCACACAGGACGTGCAGCCAGGCCCCAGGCTTATACAGCGGGCTCCCCACACCCCGGAACTGACCCCACATGCACAGCCACCCCCATCAGACAGCAGTGCCTGAGGGCAGGGCCAGGGACGCCTCCTGTGCAAGTGCCCTAGAGCCCCTGACCAGGCCTCCAGACCGGGCCCCAGCAAAAAGACAGCCTCCTGCTCCACACAGTCATGCTGAGGCCCAAGTCGGAGGATGATGCACTGGGAAGGCTCACACGAGTCGCCTGTGCTCGCAGCCCTGGGAGACACACTTCCGGCTTGAGGCTCAGCCTGTCCGCTGTCCGAGAATAGATCCACATAAATAAAGAGCTCTTACAAATCAGCACAAAGACCCACAACCCAGCCAAAAGCTGGGCCCAGAAATGGAGCAGAGATTTCTGCAGAGAAGAGCTACAGATGAACATGTCGCCAGTCAGCAGGGAAGGGCAAACCCATCAGGGAAGGGCACGGTGAGATGCCACCCCACGCCCACAGAACAGCTAGAATAAAAAGCAAAACCAAACCCAAAGCCAGAGACAACGAGAGCTGACGGCTTTGTAGAGAAACTGGACCGCTGCTGCAGGGCTGGTGGGCATGCACGACGGCAGCCAAACTGTGTCCTGGGTTCTTGGAAACAGAGACAGTCACCACCGGACCCGGAATTCCACCTCTCAGGATCAACACACAGGAAAGTGTGTCCACCAATGCTCATGGCAGCATGACAAGGACCTGACGGTGGGACTCAGCCAGGCATCCGTCAACAGAGGCCCGGAAGAAAGAGATGGTTTTGCGCCCACACAGTCGGACATCACCCAGGCACAAAGGGAAAGGCACACGGGCGCACGCTACGACATGGACGGGTGCTGGCTGACATGAGCCAGCCACGAAGGCCACAGGCTGTAGGACTCCGCTTATGCACCATGTCCAGAACCGGCAAACCCACAGAGACAGAAAGTGGCTTAGCGGTTGCCGGGGGCAGGGTGGGGGCAGGATGTGAGGTTTCTGGGGTGATGGAACACTCTGGAATGAGATAGTGGTGCTGGCCACACCCCTTGCAGACGGACCAGAAACCACAACTGCATTCCCTAACAGGGTGCACTGACGGGATAGGAGTTCTGTTTCAATCACAGACAGAACGGGGGCCTGGAGCACCAGAGCTGCCTTTCAGACTGACTCCGAGTGCGCCCCCAACCCCACACTGATGTCTGGCCTGGCTGGGGGGTCCCCCCGTGGCCACGCCTGCTGCAGCCTCCTCCAGACAGACCTCTTCCCCAAGCCAGCCTGCAAAGTTTCCCATAGAAGGTGGGGTGCTGGGACCAATACCAAGAAAGGGTCTCAGGGCTCATGATAGCCTTTCCTAGTTCTTGGGCGGTGACTGATGTTGGAAGACTGAGGCCTCTGCCCCCCCATCCCCACCCCCTGCCGGCAGCCCCTGGAGGCAAGTGTAGCGGCTTGGGTGCCTCTGCTGGGGCTGGCTTGGCACAAGTGGGATCTCTAAGCAAAGGGACCTGTGGGACCCACTCTGCGGGACCCAGCCTCTGGCTCCATGCTTGGGCAAGTTGCAGGGCGCCTCTCCCTGGGTTCAGGGACCCCCTTCCTGAGCAGACATTCAGCCTCCACAAACACCCCTCCCTCCCTTGGCTGCTTTTGCTCCCCTCTAATACCAGAGGCAGGGCCGGGTGCAGGCCAAGCTTTCAGCCCACCCAGGTCCATAGGGCATGGGGAGGTGGGGGCCTGAGTCTGTTTCCCAAACTCGCCAGACCTCGGGCCAGCCCCTTGCTGCAGGGAGCCAGGCAACCCCTCCTTCCAGGAGGGCATCAGGCCAAGCTGTCTAGGCCCCTGGAGAACCAGATGGAAACGCCACCTGCTAATCACACCGCCAAGAAGCAGGGCCAGGCCCTGGAGGAAGAGGGAAGAGCCCCTTCCCCGTGGCCAGGCAGCGGCCTGGAGGGTCTTGCCTAGTGGCCAGAGGCTGAGAGGGCAACAGGAGCAGGGCGGCTTGAGTTGCAGCCTCTGTGAGGGGGCAGGGAGGGCTCCCACCGCCCACGTGACACTGCCCCCCCCAAGCCCAGGCCAGCCTCTCTCGGTTTCTGGGTTGTAACAGGAGCTGCTCGGCCTGCTGGGGAGCCTCCGTGCCAGGCAGAGCTTTCGGAGAGGGGGAAGGGAGAAGAAGGGACTGACTCCCAGGTCCCAGCTCCTTCCTCCTGCTCCTTCTGCACTCCAGGTTGGGAGGGAAGCCCCCAGTCCCAGCCCTGCCCTGCCCTGCCCACCTTGGGCCATCTCCTTCCCCCAGCCCTCCAGCTCCTGCCACTTTGCTAGGCCAGGAGGAAGGGCCCCAGACCAGAAGGGCTGGACCTCCACACATAGACCGGTTCCGAGCACATCTTGTCCCCTCCTCTATTTCTGGGTCTGGTTCCACCTTGGGGATCCCCTCCCGAGGCGTTTGCTGGGTAAGGACCCCTCCAGCACCGGGTTCCTGCCCTTCACCCGGCCAGCTGGCACCAGGCCGGCCCCTGCTCCAGGATCTCTGTCCATCACACGGATCCCAGCTCCCCTGCCTGGTGCCGGCAGTGGACTGGTCCCTGGGGCAGCAGGTCTGCCTCCTGTGCTCTGCACAGGACAGCCTTTGGGGCCAAAGTGCTGGGCCAGAGAGCTGGCCAGAGAGGTCCCAGGAGCACCAAGCCCTCCCTGCATTCCCCTGCACGCCCACTAGTTGCAGGACAGACCTGGACGACTTCCCCAGAGGGGCAAAGCCCCTCTGCTGCCTGAGGTGAGGGTGGGGGTGGGGTGTTAGCAACCAAGGAGCCAGGACCCATGACCTCTACCTCCCCTCTGTGGGCTGGCAGCAGGCAGACCCATAGAGCAGACAAGCCAGGGTGTGTCTGAGGCCTGGTGAGCAGACCCGAGGCTGGGCCGGCAGAGCAGGAAGGCACAGCTGGCTGACAGGCTGCCGTGACTCACCGTGGACCTGCGGCCAGACGGCCATCCTCTGACCCTCCCTCTGCCCGCGAGGGCGAGGCGAAGCCTGCACAGATGGCGTACAGGGGTGTGCCAGCCTTAGAACAGCCCAGGCCCCAGGCAGGGCTGGGCCCACAGCCGGAGCCAGGAGAGGGCAGCCGGGTGGGGTCTCCAGGGGAAGGAGACACGGAGCTGACCCTGGAAGACGACCCAGGAGAAAGGAACAGAAGGAGAAAGGGGGGAAAGAAAAACACAAAGGGAAAGTTTCCCATGAAAATATTTTATTTTCTTTGAGAACAGGATACACCTGCAGGGCTCCTCGCCCAGTGGCCTCTCCCCGCCCTGGCGGTGGCATATTTCTGGACCAACGGGGCCCTCTGCCGGCCAGCCGCTGCGCGACGGCGCCGGGGCCAGGGGCGAGGGAACAGGTGACGGGCAGAGGGCCGCGGCCAGGAGCGGCCCCGGGGAGCCCAGGGCAAGGGCCAGGGCTCAGGGCTGGGCCTCGGCTCCCCGGGGCGGCGCCTGGGCGGCGGGAGCGGAGGCTGAGGGGCCTAGAGGGCTGTCCGCGCCGAGCCAGCCCGGACTTCGGGGTGCCCATCAGCGTGACACAGCCAGAGAGGGTCTCCCAAGGGCTCTGGGCTGGACATCCCAGATCTAGGAGACAGGGACGAGGAAGGCCAGAAAAGAACGGCGGGGAGCGACGCGCCGAAACACGCAAACTGCTACTACAGAGAGCGGAGAGCGCGCGGGGCAGCTACCCCTGAGACCGCGGGGGACCGCGTTCACAGCCCCCGCCGGGCCCTGTGCTCTAGGCCTGGTCCCACAGAAGCGCTCCCGCGGGCCGGGGCCAGAGCGGGCATAAGAAGCAAAGCTCAAGAAAAATAAATTCCTCCAGCTTGGGTCCCCCCCCCCTTTGGGGCTCAGTGCAAGGAACATCTGGATTTTGTACGTATTTTTTTGTTGTTGTTAAATTAACTTCTCGAGGAGAGAAAGGAGGGGTAAGCTGCAAGGGTGGGTAGGGGCGGGGGGAGGCTCCAGCCGTTCCCCCAGAACTCGGCGGCCTAACAGAGCTCCCGGACCAGACTTGGTCCCCGAGCTCCAGGGAGCTCCGCTCACGGGCGCGTCGCGGCGACGACGACTCCGGGGTCACGGAGGACCACGGCCCCGTGCCAGCCCGTCGGGGACGCCGGTCCCTTTCCCCACGCAGCGCCGCGAGGACACTGACCCGTGGACGGAGCGACACGCATGCCGCCAACAGCGCCCGGCACCCCGCTGCCCGCGCACCTGGGCCGCCCGCCCCGCGTCCCATCTCCGCGCCGCCCGCCCGCCCGCCCGCCCGCCGGGCCGCCGAGGCACCTACCCGAAGTAGGCGGCCGAGGGGCGCAGCGCGGCGAGCAGCAGCGTCAGCGCGAAGGCCGCGGCCAGCCAGCGCGCCAGCAGGGGCCCATCCAGCATCTTGCCGCGCCTCGGCGGCTGACCATCGCGCTCTCGGCCCCGCGCAGGGTGCCCCGCGGCCGCCGCCCTCTTATAGCGCCCGGAGCCCCGGGCCGGGGGCGGGGCGCCGGCCAGCTGGGCCCGGCCCGCCCGCGCCCAAGGAGGGGTCACGCCGGCGCCGGGGGCGGGCCGAAACCCGAGCCGAGCGCGCCGCCTGGCCGCGCCGCCGCCCGGCCCTTCGGGTGTCGGGGCGCGCCCCGCGCCTGGAGGCGGGGCGCGTTGGGGGCGGGAGGAGTGGGGAGTAGGGGGAGCAGGGACGGGGCTGGGGCGGAGCGCTGGCCGCGAGCCCGGGCGGCCGGGGTGGGAGGGACGCGGGGCGGCCACGGGGGCGGGGCTGGAGGCGGGCTGGGGGCTCGCGGAGGGCTGGGGCGGGGCCGGGGCGGAGCGTTGGCTCCCAGCTGCCCGCCGGGTTGGGGGGACCCGGGGCGGCCGCGGGGGCGGAGCCAGGGGCCCGTGGGGCCCGGGGGCGGGGCCGGGGCGGAGCTCGAGGCCCGGACGAGCGGCGGTGAGCCCTGGAGGACCCAGGGTCAGCCGTCAGCGGAAGCGCGCTGGCCCGCTCCCCTGGGAGTTGGCGTGGACAGGGAGACCCCGCAACAGGTGATACCCGCGCTCTTAGTGAAGCCAGATCGCTCGGGAAACCGGCCGGAGGGCCACTCCTTCCCGGGACTGAGGCGACCTGGCCAGCGGAGGGCAAAGGCTGATTCGCTTGACCTTTTGGGACCTCTGTCTCCCCATCCTTATTAAATCGAGGGAGGTGAGGTAGAGGCTGAGGTCACTGCCAGCGCCGACGCTCGAGCGACCCCCGTTCTCAGGGCCTCTGCACAGGGGCGGCTGGGAGAAGCGGGCTCGGGAGACCAAAGGGGCCTGGCGTGGCCAGAGGCGGGAGGAGCAGTGGGGGACGCGGAGGAGAGAAGGCACAGAATCCGCTGCTGAAACAAGATGGTGTCAGAGAACCCAAAATCGAATGAAACAGACACACGATTGGGTTCGAGGAGAACCAGCTAAAAGGCCCCTGGGTCAGCTGTAGGGCGCAGGCTGCGGTGTAGGGTCCTACGAAGGGCCAGCCTCCAGGTAACATCGAAGACCCCTCGGACTAGCCAGGCCTTGAGCCTCAAGGGAGACCCCACCTCCCCACCAGCTTGTCTGAACCCAGAGGAGCCCTGGATCTGGGGTACAGTGGCCCTGGATCTGGGGGTCTGAGCACCTCCAAAGGCAGGCTGGTGGGCTTTGAGAATTTAGCACTCAGTGACCTGTCTTGGAGCAGTGCTAGAAGATGCACCTCACGGTGGCCCCTGGGAAAAGGACAGCTCCGGGGAGCCTGCGTCTCCAGGAAGGCCGCCCAGGTGAGCACTCCCGGGTCTTGCTGCCGGAGATCCTGGTGCATGAGTGAGTGAGGGGTGGGTGGGGAGCAGACGGGGCGGGACAAATCACGTCCTCTCAGGGACTCAATTTCCCTATCTGAGAGCCATCTCGTGCCAAGGACCTGTGGCCTTTTCTAAGTTGTGATGCCATGTTGTGGAAGCACCCACCCATGATTAGCCCTCTCCGTGGGTGTGACTGGCCTCACGTCATTCCCCTCTTCCCGGACCCCTCCTACGGGAGGGGGATCTCTCCGCTACCCTCATCTGTTCACACCCTGCTCAGCCAGCTCACCGGTGGGGCTGGCTCCACACGGAGAAGGCTGACCAAAGGCAGCCCCAGCCCACCCAGGCTGCAGGGCCCTGGGGGAGGGGTGGGGGGCGAGAGGGGGCGCCTTGTCCCGACCCCCACGGCTATGGCCTTGCGCAGCCTGCGGGGCCTCCCCCTGAAGCCTGCCTCCCACACCCGGGAAGTGCTAGATGGCGGGTGGGGGGGACACGGAGTGATGACATGTTTAAAGGCACGAGATTGCGTCCAAGAAAAATGAAGTGTGAGATTGTAAATGTGTGTCTGGAAGGCGTTGCAGGCATTACGGAGCTCTTCCGCAGGGAGGGTTCTCCCATTGGCCGCCCAGTGAGTCCCGCCGAAAGAGGCGGGTGGAGGTCCCAGCAGCCTGGACCTGCAGCAGCCCGGGCTGCCGTGGGGAGAGGGAGGAGGTCTGTGAGCTCCGGAAGGGGAAGGCCGTCTGGGGTCTGGAAGGAGCCCAGGCCAGTCCTGTGCCAACCCACCTAGCCCAGCTGAAGCCCCCACTAAGCTGCCCCAGATATCAGCAGGTCTGGGGTTCCGAGAGACCCTTCCAGCCTGCAGAGCTAGCAGGGACACCAGGCTTTGCCCTCTGGGAAGTGGGAGGGTCCAGTCCCTGTAACTCAGGGTCTGGGCTGTGCCTGCCCCCACCCCCTGCACCTTGGGGAGACACCCCACCCCAGCTAGACCTTGGAGGCAGGCTCCCTGTCCCCAGTCTCAAGCTTCACGCCTCTGCCTACATGCCCACCTCCCCAGTGACTGATGGGCCTTCGCAGACTTGCTCTTGGGCCCTCCGAGCTCCCCAGTGGGCCCCGGTTCCCCTGCCTCCACACACACCCAGCCCCACCCACCGTAGCAGACCCTGTGGGCCTGCAACACCTGCAGCACCTGCCCTGGCTGGTCCCGGATAGGCCAGCCATGCTGTGTGGAACAGCTGCCAACAGACCAGCATCAGCTCCGTTGACCCTGGAGGGTAAACTGAGGCCCAGAAAACCACCATAAAGGCTAGGGGCACAAATTACCCAGCAGGTAATCTCACGGGCCTGAGTACAACATGAGGAAGGAATGCTGTCCAGGGAGGGCAGGCGCATCTCGTCAGCATTCTTGGCCATGGCCGATGGCCTCTGGCCAACGGCAGAGTCACTCCACATCTGTTGCAGAATACTGGGCTTGGGGCTTCTCTGGCTGAAAGCTCCTTGTCCCCCATCACGGCCACCTAGGCCTGCCTGGGCACAGGTCAGCTTGCCAGGGCAGGATATGCAGAGCCGGCAGCAGGACAAACTTCCTCCACTGGCCCAGAGGCTGCAGCTGGCCTGTGTCCTTGAGGGAGATAGAGGAATGGTCCAGACTCAACTGGATGGTCTCTGCCCTGAACACATCCCTAACATGGGTCAGGATTGGGAAACACAGTGGTGCTGTCCATGAGGGAAAGGGGCCCAGGCCCAAGAGGGCTGTGTCCATGCCACAGAAAGGCTTGTGCTCCAAAAGGAAGCCTACCTTGGGAAGGGAAAATCAAAGGCAATGGGCCTCAGTGCTCACTGGATCCCACTGCTTTCACAAACATCTAGCTTCATGGGGAGCCCAGCCCCAGGAACTGCTGGAATCCTACACAGCCACAGACCCTGAGCCAGTCCCCAGCCATGCAGAGGGGGCTGGCCAGGACTTACAGAGTGGCAGACGCCTGCAAAGTCAGGGTCCTGCCATGACCCCAGGCTGGGCGAGGGCAGGCCAACTCGACATCTCCAAGGCCCCGTCTGGATGTGGTGGCAGAGTCTCATCAGTCTATGCACGACAGCCTTATTCCCCTCCTCCCTAGGAGATGAGAGACGGAGCAATGGAGGGGACAGAAAACAGCAGGAAGCCTGCTTGCCCAGCTGCTACCCAGCCAATCTTTACCCCCACTGTGAGCCTCAGTTTCCCGGTCAACAGCAACGAGGGTGGAGTTCTGGGAGACTCTGGGAAGGCCAGCCTGGGGAGGGATTGCCAGCCACTGCCTGGACTGGGAAGGGGTACAGTTCTCCGGGTGGTCTGGAAGAAGCCAGCAAGCAGCTGCTTATCAGGAAACATTGCCTAATTGGGAAGGTTTATGGGGCCAAGCAGGGGGTCTCCCTAGGAGAGATGGTGAAAGCCACTCATGAGTCATTTGAAACTGAGCTGGACAAAGAGCTCAAGGAGAAATGATCCCACCCAGCCTGCCAGCCATGGGCAGAATGAGCTCATGGGCTGTGGGGCACGTGTATGTGTGCTCATGTTCATGTGTGTGTGTGTTCACACTCATGCGAGAGAGAGGAAGGAAGAGAAAGCTGGTGTTCTCACAGCTGGGACTGGGAAGCTGAGCCGAGTGGAGCCTCTACCACAGCCCATCCCTATGTGGCCAGGTTGCCCCCTGCAGATCAGCTGGCCCAGTGTCCCAGCCAGCACCCAGTCCACTATCCCAGCCAACACCCTGACCCAGTGTCCCGGCCAGAGCCCAGTCCAGCATCCCAGACAGTGCCTAATCCAACATCTCAACTAAGCATCCCAATCCAGCAAGATAGTCAGTGCCCAGTCCACCATCCCAGCCAAGCATCCTTGTTAAGTATTCTGGCCAGAATCCTGGTCCAGCATCTTTGCACAACATCTCAGCCGGCACCCAGTTCAGTACTCTGGCCAAGCATCCTAATCCATCATTCCAGGCAGCACCCAGTTCAGCATCCAGGCCAAGCATCCTTGTCCAGTATCCCAGCCAACATCCTGATCCAGCGTCCTGGCCAGTACCTGGTCCAACATCCCAGCCAGCAACCAGTTCTGGTCCAGTCAGTATTCCAGTCAGTACCCAGTTCAGCGTCCCAGCCAGCATCCTTGTTCAGTATCCCAGCCCACACCCTGGTCCAGTGTCCCGACCAGTACCCAGTCCATCACCCCAGCCAAGCATCCTGGTCCAGCATCCCAGCCAGCACCTTTGTCCAGTATCCCAGTCAGGGCCCAGTCCAGCATCCCAGCCAAGCATCCTTGTTCAGTATCCCAGCCAGTGCTCAGTTCAGTATCCCAACCAGCGTCCTGGTCCAGCATCCCAGCCAGCATCCTGGCCTCTAGGCATTGCCCAGCACAGCACCTGTCCTCAGACAGATGCCCGTGGACAAGGAGCTTTTTCCTCATAGTAGGACACCATCTGTTCACACCACCTTGCCACCTGTGAGAGGTGTGTTGGGAAACTTGGGTGCATAATAAACATTTCTTAACATGTTTCAAGGTTTTAAAATTGCTGTTTAGAGAAAACTGAAGGTTCACATATAATTGTAAGAAATAATGAAGGTGATTCTTGTATCCTTCACTTGGATGCCCCTGGTGAAGAAACTGTTGCAAAACTCTAGGATAATATGACACCAGAAAACTGTCATTGA